TTATCAATTACATAAAATCAAGGTGAATTCTTTTTTATCAATTGTCGAACAACCGATTTCCCGTGTGGTTAAAATACGTCAAAACGTCAATTTTCGGTCTCACTTCACCTTAAGTGTTTTTTTTTTAATTTTACATTAGGCAAAGGCGACCAGTAACAACCACACGTGCTTTGCATATTCGTTCGAACCAATGGCGTTTAAGGACTAGTTCTTATTTTTATAATAAACAAAAGATTTTCACATAAAATGTGGTCAGCAAAATAAAGGCTAGCTACAATCTCTGCTGTGAGCAAGCCGTGGTAATTAGGTTACCACGGCTTGCTTTGACCTATCACTTCTCAAGTAGAAGCCGTGTGTTTGAAACCCCTGAGTTATTCATAATATTTAAAAAATATATATTTATAAGCACTAGTAAAGTACATTATAAATGCATTACAATGTAGTCAAATACAAGACTAATAAGTAATATTCGTTGAAAAACCAAATACGACGCAAGCACATAGAAAAATTCGTGAGGTCCGCTGGTTCGTTCTGTGGCTTAGTTGGTATAGCGTCTACCACGGTATGTTAGAAGACATCGGTTCGAATCCGGCCGGATCGAAGGAATTTTTTCTGAGTGTTCGATCTTTGTATTAATAGTTATAACAAACTAGTGGATTAATTTCACATGAAAATAATTGAATATCAATTGAATAAAAAATTAAATAATTTACATTTCACTTAAACCAATAAATAAATAAAGTAAACTACGAATTCACCCACTGGTAATATTCTTATTATCTAGTAAGGCGAAGACACTTTTATCATGTGTTCTTTTGTTCAGTGTCACTGGCACTATTTAGTTTAACCACACACTACACTAGTTTCGGAATATATGTGCGAAATTTGATTTGAAATGAGCTTTTCGGTGATGGGCAACGTCGTGATGAAACCTGCACGTCGAAGAAGGCTCACAAGTGTCGGAACGGCGGGTTGGGAACTTCACATGTTGAAGTTCTCAACCCATATTAGGGCGGCGTGGCAAGCTACGGCCTAACCCTCACTCGAGAGGAGATCCATGCCCAGCAGTGGGACGTATAAATGGGTTGACGATGATGATAATGATGATGATAATGATGAATTCCGGAACTAGGAAAGCTTTGTTTTGATCTTACTCTTTCGTCTGAATATCATAAGCAAGATAAACAGTAATTAAAAGCAGAATCTTACCTTGGTAACCAAAATAACCTTAGCTAGTTTATTTTTAACGTTAAAAGTCGCATTTCCAATTACATAACGTAACTAATAACAGCTGTTACCGCAAACAGGTCTGAAGGCGTGTCAAAAAATTTTACTTGCAAACAGGTTTGAAGGCGTATCTAAAAATTAATTTCCGAATCAAGACACAAATAAGTGGTTTTAGGCATGACATTTGGCTTAACGATTAATTCTGTTAACAGTGATTAGTGTCATAAAGATTATATCACTGTTTTTAATATGCTTTCTACTCACGATCTTATTATACAGGTGGTGAAAAATATGTATTGTTTTATGTTTAATAATATTCTAACTGTACGATCAAGTTATTTATAGAACTTTCTATTAGTGCGAAGCAAAGAAAAAGTATGTTTCGGCAGCGTAGAGGAATTCAATGTCTTTTTTTTATAATATCTTGTGACAGGACGACCAAGTCGTGCACCTAGTGGTGGTAAGCTACATGCCTGTCCATGACAAATGTAGCGCCACTCAGAGTTTTAAATCACAAAAATCTGAGGAGCACTGCCACCGCGTCCGTCACCCTTAGACATAAGTTGACAAGCCCCGTGTGCCTGTAATTTCACCAGCACCCTTACCCTTCTAAGCCGGAACACAGTAATGCTAACATTACTGCTTGGTGGCAGAAATAGGTAAGGTGTACCCTGGACGAATCCTTCAGAAGGAGCTCTACTGCTAATAAAATGTCTAGTAAAGATAAATTAACAATAAGACAAACGATACTCAAGTTTGGCTCTATTTCACATGCAATACAATGGAAAAATTTATGATTGAATATGTAATATGAATTGTTTATGGCCCAGCTACTCAGGAATATTCTTTTATTCATTTCTGCCGCCTAGCCGTAATATTCACATTACTGTGGTCCCGTTTTGTGCTGGTGAAAAAAACAGGCACTTGGGACTTGTCAACTTATGTCTCAGGGTGACGGGCGCAGTGGCACTGCTCCTCTGATCTTTGTGATTTAAAGTTCTGAGTGGCACTGCAGCTGCCATGGAAAGAAGGCGTGTCGTTTACAAGCAGGCACACAACTTGTACGTACCATCGCTTGAAAAAAAAAAACACGAAAAATTTACAAAAACACACACGAAATTCGTAAGATTGCTGCCTTGATCTAAAGCTCAGTTGGTAAAAGAGGTGACCCCGGTGTGCCAATTGAATGTCGCCAACGATTGAAACATTTCGACAACTCGAGGCCATCTTTTTAGGAATATTTATTAGTTCCTTGAACATTTAAATAGCTCGACTTTGGTTTATAAACTCTAATTCGAACGATTTTAATAATAACATGGTAACTAAACCATATTTAAAAAGTGACGGTTCTTGGTATCTCTAAATTTAAATCAGCCTGTATAGAAACAGTCATCTATTTGTAGCTAACAATGTTTTCATTATTCATTATGTATCATATGTGTGTTATGCCTAAAAATAGCAATTGTAACTTCATAGTTATAAAAGAGAGAAGAGAAGTATGGTGTGCAATTAAAATTGCAATTCGTGAATAGTTTGAAATAAAGTTTTTTGTATTTGTGTTAGACCGGTTTTGGTTATTATTGTTGCTGGCATAATACATTTTACTACGTAATCGAACAATTATCTGAGAAAAATCTAAAATGTAGTTAGAAAGAATGTTTGTGTAATACAAATGATCATTTAACCAATATTTTTGTATTTTTAAATCAATAAATGACATATGGGATGAAATATTATTAATTTGTTAATGCAAATACTAAACACATGACATAATGTCATACGTAGGTAAACAATGAAATGTCGTCGTATTTGTTTTTCTACGTTTAATCACATTGTAACTGAAAACTTTGTAATCAAACCCCAAATCTGGTCGGAATAGTGACAGGGAACACTACAAAATGTTGGTAAATACTGGTAACCTTCAACCAAATTCACCCATTAAGCGCAGGGAAGAAAGCTTATTATAATGTTAAAACTATGGTGTTTTATTGGCAGCTTTGTGACTAATCATTCACTCAGTTCGTACTATGACGCGACTTTGATATTACAGTAATATTGTTCTTAAGTCAAATTTAGCAATCTTAAAATAGTTACACGGATGCAGTAGAAACAATATTATTTTCGAATTTATTGTCTAAGTTTTGATTTGTAATGATTAAAAGTTATGTTGAATTTATGTATTTACATAAATCTCTTCAATATTTTGTTTATTTTTTATTTATTAGTACACAGGAAATAATAATATCTCGTTAAATAAAAATACGTTTATTTTGTAAAATTATACCAGCGACATCTATGTGTTCCTTGGCGACGCTAACCGTTGACACTAGATTGAAATTACGAATTCACAACGTAACTTTCAAGACTCAGTTTGTTTTATATATTATTCTTCTTGAAAATGAGAAAAAATAATTGAAATTTCTTTATTTTAATTAAAAAAAATAAAAAATTTCTTTCTTTGGTAGTTAAAATTCTTTGAATGTAAATTATATTAAGTACTTTAACATTATACTACGATAAGACGATTCGGAACATCAAAAAAGAAAGAAATGACATTATATAGTTCATATAGCGTTATTTCTTTCCTATTTTTAGTACAGTACATCAAACTTGGTACTTTGAATTTTAGACCGTTCTTATTGCAAGCGGCATACAGCTGAATTTTAAATCTTAAGTGTGTAGTTTGACGTGCTCTTGACCCTGTACTAAAATACAACGAGTCTATCAAGTTAAAAAGAATATCAGTAACGTACACTTTTGAAGTTTAACTTCTTAATGGGCTCAAGGAATTTATTTACCGACATAATGCGATACAAAGTTAAAACAGTTTTTCTCACCGGTGAAATTTGGGTCGGCTTTTGTGCCATGACACAAAAAACTTGTAATAGCCCTTTGAGCGGTAGGTTTAATGGGGTCATTAAGTGGAGAAAGCTCCCTGAGTGCATCCTATTCATTTTATTATTAAGAAATAAATTCCTCCGTGTAATATAATGGTGACCTCATTCGGCGAGCGGTGAGACTTTATAAAGTTTTCAGGTTACTTTCGAAGTAGAATAATGCGACGTGTTAATTAGCTTTATGTGTGATGTGGTAGATTCATTCATTGACTCGTATTAATGTGCAGATGTGATAGATTCATTTTCTAAAATGCGGTGTATGTTCCTGTGGTTTGGTACAAGAAGTGTCTAAGTCTATATTACTTACGCACTTTTTGTAGCAAGCCACAGATATAAGTTTCTTCAAAATATTGATTTTAAGATTTCCTGTTATGTGTATATTCAATATTTACTATTAGAAAAAAAGCGAAAAAAATTAACACCAATATTGACGTATTTCGCTCTACTTAAATGTATATTATTAAAGCTTAAATATATATTTCAAGAAAAAATTTACATAAACAAATATTTAATTGATTCGCACCCCTCATGGAAGAATTTCATAAGTGCAGTTACGTCAAAAATGTTTATTGCTCCATTAGATATAGAAAAATATAACCCATATTGTCTCCAATTCTTGTAACTGTATGTACAATGTTAGTTGGTATAGTTACAAGAATTGGAGACGATATGGGTTATATACATATTTCTGTATCTAATCGAGCAATAAACATTTTTGACGTAACTTCACTTATGCCATTCTTTCATGACGAGTGCGATTGTAAGTAATTTCATAATTTATTATCAGTCCTAATATTATGCACACATATCGGTATGCATAATTTATTTAAGGAAATAAATAACAAAAATATCAAGGTGTCATAATTAAAATATTACCTTCTAAAACGAACTTTTTCTCCTCCTGAGCTCGCGTATAAAGTTTAGATCTGAAAAGAAAAAAGAAAAACAATTTACATAAGTAATTAATATAACTATTTATAAAGTGTGTACGTGGTACCTTATTACGATATGCACACATAGAGTGGACAATACCTTCCTCTGACATTAAATTCTGGTATTATTTATTGTATTTTGCTTTTATGGTATTATATTTTTTACGTGAACCAACAATTACATTACTATGGTTGTGTATTTAAAAATGTGTATTTAATTATTATTATTATATTAAAAGTAAAATAAAATTTATTTTTTTGCTTTATATTTTTTAATCATTCCGGTATTTTATTTTATTTCATTTTAATTATTTTTTTATCAGCGCAATTAAGGAGTACAAGCAATCGTCTATTGGCATAGATTTGTTCAATACTAGTGTAGGCTTGATTCGACGAACGTTTAATAAGCAATACTTTACGTAATTATCTATCTCTCATTATTTTGTTTCCTGTCTTTAAGATGTGCGTGTTGTTGGATGGGCTATATAGGGTTCAATATTTTTCCTTTTTCTCTTTTCCTTTCTTTTCCCTGTATTGCCAATTGCACCTGTTTTTAATGCGTAAAATAATATTACGTTTTTTACATTTCAATAATAATGTTTTAATTTCTGCTGACTAAAAACTTAATAATTTATATTTGGTGTACTTGTGGAGATATGTAATTAGCATTTACACCTGTTACTCAATTTCTATTTATTGTTAAAAATTCGGTGTAAATCTTCCTAAAAATAAATAAATAAATTTCAGAGTAAGTATTAGACACTCTATGTGTATTATTTGAAGTTAAGGTAAATAAATATACTTTGTTTAATCCAATTTCGGATCGTCACCCTTACAACAAAAACTAGAACTTAATGTGTTGAATGTGTTGGAACGACCCAGTATGATATCATTGGAACAAACCACTAACCTACCTAACTTCCTAACCTAAGTATTGTCAGCATATTTTGCGTACATAAACATATTGGAATATATCGGACTTTGTTTGTGGGACACTGCATGTTCAAAATGTTGGTTCCTTCGTATTGAAATTTATTTATTTATAAAGAAAACATTCTTTTGGACTTACAGCTCAAGCCTAAGCGTCCAACAAGACAAACTTAAAGATAATGTAAAATTTAAATATAACATGCAAAATAAAAAATTAAACTTAAAACTAAACAAAGAAAGAAAAAAGATAAATACATACAACTTTACACAATTTTCTACAATCTAACACTTATCTTAAATTCACAAATGATATATTGAGAGCATACATTCGACGACATCTAAGGGATGACTAGCAATAAAATTTTTGTCTTACGTGTTCTCTACCACAGCTCCATGATCACATTTGTTTAAATGAATCAATTTGCAATTTTAAAAATGATTTAATTACTTCTTTTGTCATTTATATAATGTTTAATAAGTAATTTTAATTTTTTTTTAAATTGTGTTGTAACTAGTATATGATGCTGAGTGTAATGAATGTTACAACAAGAAGGCTTGTCGATTATTACCGACTTTCTTGATTAAAAAATATGTCTATAAATTAATTATTATTGACTAAGTAACTATTATTACAATACAAGACAATAATGCAAGACAAACAACGTTTGTTCTACCACTTCTTGCATTGCTCATAATCATGTAATGTGATTTTATTAACGTACATTTCTCCTCATATTTCTCTCTAAAAGTTTCTTTTTTTAGTGGCAAGTACCGTGTCAAATGTTTCGACTTATATAATCAAAAATTACCTGCTGTTTGTCGTATGTAATGACAACCTAGATGACCTAGCGGTCAGCACTGTAGGCGCCAGATGAGGAGGTCTCAGGTTTAACTTCTGATAGCTCCAATTTGTGTAATATATTTTTCTAAATAATTTCTAGGTTGATTCGGGGTAGCGGGATTGTGTCAATTTGGTTACCCTATTATTTATAATAAACCAGACCTACCGCTTCTCAAGCAGAGGTCGTGGGATGAAATCCGAGCACCTTTGGGTTTCTCGGAAATGAATTCCGGAATTTAATGTAAAATTTACCATGAGCTTTTCGGTGAAGGAACAAGGTTCACACAACCTTCGGAAAACATGTAGGATGTGTATGAGAACGTCACATGGACTACTCATAGTATAGGGAATTCCGAGACCGTGTGATGTGGTTGTCAGGTATTCTATCATTGTTAAGAATGTAATTTGTTCATTTTTAATTTCATAGATTTCTCATAGATGGCGACTAAAAAGTCGTTGAAAAACCAAATACAAAGACACGACGCAAGCACATAGAAAAATTCGTGAGGTCCGTTGGTTCGTTCCGTGGCTTAGTTGGTATAGCGTCTGGCACGGTATGCAAGAAGACGGTTCGAATCCGACCGGATCGAAGGAATTTATTCTGAGTGTTCGATCTTTGTATTAATAATTATAACAAACTTGTGGAGTAATTTCACAAAAAATAATTGAATATCAGTTCAATAAAAATTTAATTACTTAATGTAATTTGTTTTTATTTTTTCACATTTCATTTCACTGTATTGTGAGTTACATAATTAAATTGAGAACGTTATATTGATAACGTGCTATACCAGTTTAATTGTACGGCTATTCAACAGAATAACTGTAATTATTACTAGTTTGCATGTATTGAACGTGTATTTACGATAACATTTTATTTATGTAATACAGACACACGCTTGACCTCTATCTCACTTATGATCTTAAGCGAAGTTGATACCAGGTACGCGCTTGTTCAAAAAATGTATATTTAATGTTTTATTTATTTGTAATCTTCTGGTTTTAATTAACCGACTTAAAAAAAGAGGAGGTTCTTATTATACTGTATTTTTACCCGTTTAATGTGTATGTTTTTTATTTATACATATATATGCGATAAGTAATGTGTGAGTTTTTTTGATACATCACGTGACTGGCGACGATTACACAGGTTTTGTTTATTTGTCTATTATTTTTGTTTTTTTTTGTAACTGTGTTTTTTTTGTTCTAACTTAAAATTTGTTTTTGGCTCTGTTAGAGCACTTTATATAATATTCTTTCATGTTGCTGGAAATTCGTAAATGGCATCAGATTACTCACATCTAAGTACTATAATTGTATTATTTATCCGTGAATTCTCCTAAAATGTATAAATAAATAAAATAAACAAATATAAATGAATTATACGTAATGATTTTGTAACTTCTGTCGCAGTCGTACCGCAACTTTTTGTTTAGACGATTATCGAATAGATTTCATAATAATAGAATGTCGATATAGGTAGATTGCAAGCTGATATTTAATGTACATTACGGTCACTGACTTTTATTTCGAAAAACAAATAAACGTGTTATTGCTTGGTGGCAGACAGTACTTCCTTGGACAAACTCTTTCACGGAGCTCTACTGCTACTAAAATCCGTGATACGTAAACATGGTACATTAGGAATTTAAATGAGGTACTTAATTAGTCTCTTCTTCTTCTTATTAATACTTTATATTTTAGTAATGCCAGAACTACCATGGACGACCTCTTTCATAATGAACTCTACTGCTACCAAGATATATCTCATTATTTAGTCATTAAGCTTTACTTTTTATTTGTTTAACGAAAATGAGCCTAAATAAATATGTTTCTTTCTTTCTAAATAATGTTAGTGTTTGTAAATAATGTGAGTGTGGTTTCGTGTGTACAACAGTGAGAGCTATAATTACACAACTGTACAGTTGCGCTATAACTATAACGTAGTAGTATAAAAACGAAAGCACCGAAATTTAATACTGTATTTACTAAAAAAAGCAATCTTCGCCTCATTGAGACTATACAAAACCTAGTTCGTTTTGTTTGGTTCATTTTAACTAGTTTTTAATAGCGACTTTGATCACATACGAACTGAGAACCGGTTCATGACATAATGCAGAACACGCTATTGTAATGCCTCCGTGGCCGAAAGGTTTCAATTCCTGGGTCGACAGAAATATTTGTATGGCATTTATTTCTTTCGTGAGTTAGTGAGTCGAGTTAGAGTCGTGAGTTAGTTTCGGGTGTAATTTGTGGATGTCTATGTGTGTGTCCACGGCACCTGCGATACAGGGCTCCCTAGAGCGGGGTCCTGAGTGTGTTGTTATTATTATTATTGTTATTATTTTTCTTCTTTATTTTTCTCAGCCTGGTTTGAACCGCACTTACGGACCGAAATCAAGTAAATGCACTATGGCGCGTATCTATGTGGAGGGTGTGTAACAAGAGCCTACTTCGTCCTCTTCCATTTGCATGAACTTTCTGACAATGCGGCATTATGTTCTTCTTTATTTTTTTCAGCCTGTTGGCTGGTTTGGACCACACTTACGGACCGAAATCAAGTAAAAGCAGTATGGTGCATATCTATGTGGAGGGTGTGTAATAAGAGCCTAACTCTTCCATTTTATTAGTATTAAGTAAAAATAACTCCTAATTATTTAATATTTTACTACTACAATCCATGCAAGAATTTTAAGATGTTTTTCTAGTTGGTTCGCCTTAGCGTCTCCTAATTTTCTATCATAAATTGCCTGAAAGATATTCTTACTTAGAAACAAGTACAAATAGGACCACCTGATGTACAATAGCTAATTCTGACATTACTGTCCCGTGTTAACTTTTTATTGCAATATTGAATGGTCAAGAAAGAATTTTTCAAGTTTTCATTATTTTTGAATTATGATCGATAGTGTCGCAGTCAAATGGTTAAATCAATTCAACATACGACCTAGACATTTAACTAAACGGCTTCGTTGAACTAATGGCCTTAGATATTTTAAAAGTTGAATTTTTGGACTTTATGGCGGCTACATATGTGTCACGCGGGTCTCGCGTAGTAAATAGGAGGCTCGGGCCCATTGACTTACAATTATATGGGCATCGGGTCCGCGCTACAAAGTGTTCGAACTTATAGGGCGTTAAAATCGTATACAGAGCGTCATTCACGCTTTAGTCTTCGTTTGTTCGACTGACAGCGAAGCAAGCAAAATTAGACAGTACTGCG